ACAGCGACGCCATATATATATATTTTATTTAATTTATTAGTTACTGAAAACACAAAATAATCTTAGTTATACATTTCAAATAAATTATCACAATCAACTTCTTGGTTTATATTAACTTGTATATTTTTATTATTCCTTTGTTTTCAATGTATTTTCAAGTTTTGCAAATTCTTTGATGGCAACTTCATCTTCTGGATCATTAACTTGCTCTACTGCCACAACTTCAGGAATATAAAACTGCAACATGTTTTGTACACCATTTTTGAGAGTGACAATTGAACTGGGACAACTCGAACAGGAACCTTGCATCTTCAGTTTAACTATCCCACCTTCAAAGCCTCTAAAAATAATATCACCCCCATCTTCTTGAACTGTTGGCCTTATTCTAGTGTCCAACAGTTCCTTAATCATTTGCACAATTTCACTGTCATCCTCTTGAATTTCTAATCATGCAAAAAACAACAATAACAACTCTTTTCTTATACTATCACCTATTTGACTCACGTGTGTCGGGATTTGGTGTAGCATTACTCAACACAGGCAAACCACTGACAAAAAAATCCATGATAGTTGCAAAAACTTCTGGTTTTATTAACTTCCACTCTACGTCATCATCAATTTTTGAAATTGTGATAAAATCAGGCCCAAGAAAAACGCTTTTTACACCCTGTATTCGAAATAATAGCCTGGCTAATGGGGAGCATTGTGCAGATGAAGCATTTGGGAAGTCAATAGTTTGACCTGGCTCTAAAACTTGCTGACCCGGTAAAAACTTTAAACTATTTGGATTTGGAGTCTCCTGAGTCTGAATAAACATATAACTCCGATTTGTTGTCAATAGTGAACGTATTTGTAAAATCTGGGCCCCATTTGTACTATTCTTCAAGCTATTGGTTATGTTACTTAAATGCTAAATTTAGTTTCTAAGGGAATAAACCATTTGTATACTTACTGTTTTTGACTTAAGTTATTTTTTAATGAATTTGTTATGAGATTACAGCAAATTTTTGACGTATTACGCCACATTTTGAACATTTTAAACATAGCAAATTTGATAGGTTATGTTAACAAAGTTTGACAAACCTCTCTTCTTCTTACGTTTAATCGTAGTCTCCGAATGCATTGTTTATTGAGCCAATTCTAAAGCTAGGTTTACATTTTTCTTGGACTTTATACAAAACTTATTAAAATAACTTGCTTAATCATAAAAATCCGGATTTGACAAACGTAAACTGTCAAAATAGATTCTACCTATAAGTTTTAGTAAAATGGGTGAAATAATAACGGAATGGATCGCAAAACGAACTGGGATAATTTTAGATTTAAAAGAGAAAAATCTTGTTGAATACATAAAAGACGGAAAACTTTTGGCGCAATTAATTTATAGCTATGGCATTATCGATAAAGAAACGTATGATTCCATTGAATCATCAGAACAACCTAACAAGGCAGCAGAGAACTTTTCAAGAATTAAAATATGGTTAAAATCGGTTAATATAGACTTCGAAGACCGTTTAATCAATAAATTAGTCTATGAGTCAAATAACAGTAGCGCAGTGAAGTTATTTTATCAGTTATATCTAGCCCTGAATGATAAAGATAGATTACATTTTATTGTGCAGAAATTTTCAAATAAGGTAACTCCTCCTCAGAGTAGATTCACAGTTGAAAAGGTAGAAGAATATCCTGACGTTGAAGTGAAAGAGGAAGTTTGTGAAGAATTTTTGAAGCAACAGGATGTTATAGAATGGCAAAGGTTCAAATATAAAAACATGCTTGAAAAATTCAAGGAAGCACGCGAAAAATACCTACTCCATCTGAAAAATTTAGCAGATGCAGAACATTTAGCAACAGTCCCTATGACAGTAACATTAACCCAGAAAAAGGACGAATTAACAGAAATAAAAAAACTCCCCATTGAACCGCCTAAAAATAAAACGTACGAAGAATTGATGGAAGAACAAGTGCATTTTCAAGAAACGCCTCCCCCTTTAATCGACTGCAGAAAATCGAATGTTTTCATCAACAAAATTCGACAAAAACGGAGACACAGAGAACGCCAAAAGACCTTACAGGTCCAAATGCAAAAACTCTTGCTACAAGAACTATGGGAAAAAATTATATCTGAGCAAGAAAAAGAAATTAACGAATCCTTAAGAACGGTGCTTACGCAACAAGCCAAGTACGAAAGGCAAATGGCGATGAAGATGATGGACGTTCGAGAAGAAAAAACACAAATCGTAGAGAACAAAAAGAAGGCTGTACGCAAGGCACAGGAAAAAATAGAAAGCGAAATAACATACAGCGGTTTCCTAGAAGAAAAACAATCAGACGATTTAATTCGCAGTTACTACGAAGAAAAGGCGAGAATGCTGGAACTACATCGACGATTATACGCCATCAGGCAGTGCCTAAAGAAACAGAGAAACTGGGAATTTTGCAGAGAAATCGTCAGAGATCTAACGGACATTGCCATACGATGCGGCGAGTACAAAGAACAGCACGAAACTGACGTTCCCAAAGAACTAAAAGACGACATGGTCCGTTTGTTTGTCAAAGAGCAACCAATATTTGATCTCCTCGAACAAGTGGACGATGTCCTTCAAGATTATTTCACAGAGGAACCGTCAGAAATAATAAACACTTACGAAACCATTCGAATGGGCTACTTGGACGAAAAAGATTTTGAAAACTATAACGTTCAAAAGTGGCCGTGGGAATTAAGCTTTTTATACGACGATTACGATGATTATGCTGAAATATTTCAGGAGAAGCTCGACAAAATTGAATTGGGAATGAACGTTTTGGGCCATATTGTCCACTGGCTTTCCATGTCGTTTACGTCTCCACCGATAAATAAAAAACCACCGGACATTATCAAAGCAAGACCTGCAGCATGTGTCGTCGACATCCCGAAGCCCGACACGGTTTTACCAACTCTTAAGCGTCTCCTACAGCAAAATAACATCAGAGTGATCGAAATTCAGGAAGTGATCGACTTTTGTTTGCAAGCGTACAAGGAAGAAGCTACGGACAACGTTGCAACCGATACGCTAACCGACGAAACAGAACGTGGTTTGCAGCAAAAAGCGGGCACCTTAATCGATGCAAAGAAAAAAGGAGAAAAATCGAAAGCCTCTAATGCTAAAAAGGACAAGAAAAAGGGAAATGCTGCTGCTCAACAACCTGTCCCACAAACGAGCAACGAACCAGCTGTTGTTACAAAGGCGCTACAAACCCCAAAAATATATCCATGTGAGCAATTTCAGTTTAGCAGAAAAGCGGAACTGGGTCTCATGGCTCACGAGATTCTCAGTTTAGGAGATCCGATACCAGATCGCATTATTGCAGACATGATTACCGAATACCTTCTGACACTTAAAAATATAAAAGGTTGGGTTATAGTAAATTATCCGATTGACTTTAACGAAGCCACCTGTTTGGAGGAAGCCCTAACAGCGACGCCAGTACCTGTGAAAAATATGCAAAATCCTGACGAACAATCCGAAGAACTGTCCGATTTTGCGAATATAGAAAACAGGATACCTGGTTGTGCTACCATTCAAAAGGAATGGAAATCTCGGATTGTACCGAAACCCGATCGTCCCATCGAAGAAATATTTTACGAAACATTCCTAACTGCATTCATCAAGATGATCCCGTTCAAGCAGGAGGAAGAGAACAAAGAGGATGAATTCGATCCCGACGATCCATTTGAAGAGAAAAAAATGTCTAACATAGAAGCATTCTATGCCAAACAAGGATGCTATTATACCATGACATTTAAAAACCTAGACTTCACTACCATCAAACACTTGGGCCGTTTGATTGTCGGTGATTTCACGATTCCGCCAAAAGCGTCCGTCGAAATATTCGGAGACACGGTTTTATACATTGAAGACGAATTAAAACAGGCCGCGAAGCCTGGCAAGGGCGCTAAATCTCAAAAGAAGGGCAAAAAAGAGGAAAAACCTAAAAAGGTCGAAAAGAAACCACCACCGAAAGAAGACAAAAAAGATAAGAAAAAAGGCGCAGGCGATAAGAAAGCCAAGGGTGGCAAAAAAGGCCCAGACGCAGTCATAAAAGCTGTAGCAATGGAAGATAAAGAAATACAAGTTCCAGAAATAGAACCTGATGTCATAGTAATTTATGAGGAACCACCGCCTCCTCCAAAACCTGGCGAGTTCGAATGGAACTACGTCACAATAGAATTCCCTCATAAACTGAAAGTAGCTTTGGCTACTTTATGGATGACCGCTGAAGAAATCTACGTAGACGACTTTCAGCAATTGTTCTTTTTCCAAAGGATGATACTGAACGCCGTCTGGCCATATTTCACATTTTTGCGGCAAAATCTCCGTACCTTTCTTACCAGACCTGACATGAGACCAATCTATTTGTATAAATTTCAACAAATGTTCAACGAGTTTGAGCAGGATATGAGAGAGGACGACGAAGTGAAGGCGGAACTGCATTGCAGAATAGCCGAATTTCGCGAGAAACTACTGGAAATATCCGACAGGCGAATGATCGAAGCGGAAGAAGAAAGACGAAAAATGATGACCAATTATTGGGAGGGAATGGAGGCTTGCGAACTCGGTAACGTTTACGTCAATTTCATGCAATTGGAAATGGATAGGTGCGCAGACACTTTGTTTCTTATAACTGATTATTATACGGGAGTGATTACTAAGATGCCCTACGAAGAACCGTTTCCGACTAAAGAGATCTTAGAAAAAATTGAGACNGATGTAATGTAAAGGATGTTACGTTTTATTCAAATAATTTTGAGAGTTTAATTAGTTAAGAATAGTTTTTAGAAAAGCGGGAGATAAAAAAAATTCCTACTTCTCTAAAACTCTCCTAAATTACCAGAACTTTCAAAATATTTTAACAAAAGCTTTAAATTGTATTTAAAAGATATTATTTCATTTTTTATATGAAAAGACGGCGTACGAATTTTCCTATATCACATAATAATAATAAGAATATTTTGTAAGTGATTTCTGGAAGTTTTGAGTATTCAAAAATACAATTTTTTTTTGTTCAAATTTCCAATAACTTAAATATGATTTCAGCTTCCATTAATTTGCTTATTGTTTTACAAAATATTAACAACACATTCGAGTGTATTGAAAAGTGATAAAGAAAACAGTGTTTTATCAGCAAAATTTCCAAGTAGGTACTTACTTGGACACTCGAACATAAAATCGCGTTCGTTCTAGCACAGAATATAATAAAAATAGCCCTGATATTCTTGCAAACGACTCTTTTTTTTTTACACGATACGCATTACACTTATTACTGTACCTCGGGCACGTAGACAAGTCAAGAAGGTATATTTATATAAAGTTTGCCAAAGTCTCTTTGTTTATGAATTCCACTAGATAATAACTCCTTCAATAATCTTATTTTAGATTGGTTGATATTCTACTGACTACATTTTGTTTACTTACGTCAAGCTGTAGTTCAAAAAAAAAATAATCATATTAATTTTCTTAACTTAAAATGTACTTATGGAATAATATACACATCAGCAAAAGGTACCTCAAAAATGTGTAATATTTCTCAACTTTCCAATATTTGTAAATGCTTTCAAAAAATGGAAAAAAGAAAAAATAAAAACGACGCCTTCGACTTGATGGTAATAACAGCGACTGTTTTGAATTAATTTAATTTGGCGCAAAAAAAGCGCAAATTTCATCACCATATTAACATAGATGATCTAATTGTTATTCATTTATACGTATGTAAAATAAAAGATTAACGAATCCGATCAAAATTCACTATTTCTAAGAAGGATGAAGAAAATATTTAGAAAATTTTTTAAAGAAAATGCTGCGTCGCAATTTCATTTTTTTTTTTTT